TTTCTGAATAAGGATGACCGGTTTGTGAAAGACCAAAAGGATTTATAAAGTCAAACAGTTTGCAGCCCAGGAGGTCATATGAATATTTTTTTTTGGGAAAAAAAAAAATTAGAAATAAATTCTGTTCTAGATTTTGGCTTTATTGCCACCTCGCCCCATATGACCCCCCCCCCCCCCCCACCACCACCACCACCACCAATTAAAACATTTCTGGAGGCGGCACTGATTGCATCATACAATACGCTGCCTGCATCTTTAACTCACATCATCACATCGTCTGCAAACGAGTTAAAGAAAAAGCGCTTTGTTTCTCGTGACAACTTGAAGCTAACGTTTGTCGCATTTTGGTCGATTTTTAAAGGTTTTGTAAGAAGCAGGCGTTTTTAAAGACTCGTTCAGTGTTAACCGTAGTCGCCACGCTTGGTCAAACACAAAAACAAACACGCTCTTAGTGAATTAAACATGGCGCCTGTGGAGAGACGTGTAGCTCAACAGAGGAATCAACTCTTAAGTAAAAAATTTTTTTTGTTTTTTATGAAAATCCTTTGTTTGTGTCTCTTAGCACAAACTTAACAAAACATGTTCACGTTTGTTTTAGTCGTGTCAAACTCAATTTTATGAATGGACTAAAGTTTAAAACTTTTTCCAAGTCGTGGACCAATTTCAGTCGATGTATTAACCCAAGTCAGATACCCGACATCTTTTCTTGGTTCTAGGAGTTAAAATGGTCCCATTGGATGTTTTTGTTGCTCCTGCACATCAAAATCAAATAATACAGACAAATGTTTTTTTTTTTCTGGCATCAAAGTTAGACAACTGTTGTGAGAAACCTTCATTAAATTATTATTTTAAGCAAAATGAGAAGAATAAACACGTTTTTCACTTAAATTATAATATTTGTGGGCCTTCAAAGATGCTAATAAGGGCCAGATTTGGCCCATGGGCCTTGAGTTGGACTTGTTTTAACGGTTTTTGTCCATTTATTTCAAGTTGGTGTTTTTTATACAAAGATTTTGAGGTACAAACTGAGAAGACTTTGTTTTCCTCTTGGGTATATCTGTGCACGACATGCAGCAGCTTCTCGTGGGGTTGTGCAGAGCAGTTTGTTTTCACATCGTAACTCGCGTGAATCAATTTGTTTTGACTCGCCCTACCTTCAGACTTCCGTATCTCATCTGTGACCCTGTCCGTCAAGCCCGGGCCCGAGGTGCGGCGAAACACCAACGTGACTCTGAGATGTCAGGCGAAGGTGATCGCCTCTGAGCAGGAGGCGCTGAGTCGTGAGTACATCATCTACAAGGACGAGCAGGTGGTCTACAAGAAGGCCACCGACTCCCCTGAGGACTTCCTGTACCACCTGCCCGAGGCCAGAGTGTCCAACAACGGCAAGTACAAGTGCAGGATTAAGATCCGGGAGCAAGAGGTGACCAGTGACGTTCAAAAACTCACAGTGACAGGTGAGCTGGCGCTTGGTTAGTGCTCTGTTCATGCTTCTAATGTCTCCATGATGTTCTTCTCCCTCATGTTTCTTTCCTGTTTTGATTTCCAGGCCTGTCGCTGCCCGTTCTCCACCTCAACAGAAGCGTTGTCACCGAGGGCGACGACGTCACGGCCACGTGCTCGGCGCCGGGTGAGACGGGTTCCTTTTATTTCCACTTTTTCGACAACTCCGGAGAGCTCCGCGAGGAGCGCGTGAGCTCCAACCGGGCAGAGGCGAAGCTTCGCCTGAAAACGGTGGGCGGACACAGGATTCACTGCAACTACACGGTGGTCCTCATGCCCAAGTCCGTGGACTCGGAGAACAGCAACACGGTCAACGTTTCGGTCAAAAGTACGCTGGATTTCTTTACTGGGAAACCTTCTCAAGTGTTCCATCTACAACCTCAATTTAAAGAAGTGGGGAAGTTTTGTAAAACGTAGATAAGACCAGAAAATCATTTTCAGATCTCGTAAACCAACTTTTCATTTAAACGTAGAAAACGTGAGGCACCGAAGAAGTTGCAAGAAAAATAATATTGTCATTTTGAATTGTATGGCAGCAACGCGTCTCTTTAAAGTTGTTCCAGGTCCACGGTTCCTGTGTGAAGCATCTCCTCTTCTTTAACAACTCTCGGTAAACATCCAGGACCTGAGTAGACCAGATGTTGGAGGTTTTGGAGGACTTGAAGAGACCAGTTGTTGGAGGTTTTGGAGGAACTGAGGAGACCAGGTGTTGGAGGTTTTGGAGGACTTGGAAGAGACCAGTTGTTGGAGGTTTTGGAGGACCTGAGTAGACCAGTTGTTGGAGGTTTTGGAGGACCTGAGGATACCACATGTTGGAGGTTTTGGAGGACTTGAAGAGACCATTTCTTGGAGGTTCTGTAGGACCTGAGGAGACCAGTTGTTGGAGGTTTTGGAGGAACTGAGGAGACCAGTTGTTGGAGGTTTTGGAGGACCTGAGGAGACCAGTTGTTGGAGGTTTTGGAGGACCTGAGGAGACCACATGTTGGAGGTTTTGGAGGATTTGAAGAGACCATTTGTTGGAGGTTTTTAAGGGAATGTTCTGGTCTGTTGGAGGAATCTAGCGGTTCAACAGTCCTGAATCTTCTTTGCTGGATATTTTTGTTTCACATCTTATGGACTGCAGGCAGACCAGTTCAGCTCCTGGACTCTTCTACCATGAAGCCATGCTGTTGTAACGGATGCTCTCTGTGGTTTAGTGTTGGTTTGCTGAAAGATGCAAGGTCTTCCCTGAAAAAAAACGTCTGGATTGGAACATAGGTTCTTCTAAAATCTGTTTATACCATTTTGTATTGATGGTTCCTTTCCAGATGTGTAAGCTGTGAATGCCAAAGGCACTAATGCACCCCTATGCCATCAGTGAGGCAGACTTTTAAACTGTGATCTGATACCTGACTGGATGGTCCCTTTCCTCTTTAATACGGAGGATGTCGCCTTCGTGATTTCCAAGAAATGTTTGAAATGTTGATCTTTCTGACCACAGGACAGTTCTCCACTTCACCTCAGTTTATTTGAAACGAGGTCTGGTCCAGAGAAGAAGCAGCGGTTCTGGATGATGTTCACATCTGGCTTATTCTTTGTCTGATAGAGCTTTAAGCAGCATCTGTGGATGAACTGTGTTTACAGACAACGATCTGTGGAAGTGTTCCTCGGACCAGATCAGAACCGGACCTGGTTTTAATGCAGTGGCCCCTGCGGGCCCGAAGATCACGACCATCCAACGTTGACCTTCAGCCTTGTCCTTTGAGCTCAGAGATTACTACAGATTCTTCTAATCTGGTGATGAGATTATGAGCTGGAGATTATGGAGATTCAGTTCTTTCTTTGAGGAACTTTATTCTGGAATTGTTTGAATATTTTGAAAGAGTTTGTCACAGAGTGATGAACCTCTGCATATCTTTACTTTTCATTCAGCCTCTCTTAAATGCTTTTTTATGCCCAGTCTTCAGATATTTTTTACATTAATTAATGTAATTAGTTATAAAATGCTTCTTCAGCTGTTTCTTATTCAAACCACTTACTTTTAAAACCTTTTGTTGCTTTTTTTCTCCTTTTTTTTCCTTTTTTTTCCTTTTTTTTTCCCTTTTTTTCCTCTTTCTTTTTTCCCTTTTTTTTCCTTTTTTTCCTTTTTCTCTTTTTTTCCTTTTTTTTCCCTTTTTTTCTCCTTTTTTTTATTAAAAAAAAAAGCTTGTTGCTCCTCTCTAATTATTTTAGATGATGCTGCCATAAAATTCAAAATTTCTTAATTTTTCAATTAAATTAGTACAATTTCTTAGTTTAAATATGTTTACTATGTTCCGTTGTAAACAAAATATGAGATTTCCAAATCACTGCATTCTGTTTTTATTCACATGTTTTGCAACATCTTAACATATTTAGAAGTTTGGTTTGTATTTCATGACTCACAGCTTTGGTTCCACAGAACTCTCCATCACGCCGGTTCTGGAGATTTTTCCTCTGGATGACGTTTACGAAGGAGATGATCTCACCATCAGGTGCTCGTTTGTGGCGTCTGAGCAGAGCTTTAAGAAAGTGAGTCTCATCCTGAGTCAGGGCACCAAACTGCTCAGCAGCAGGAACACGTCTACGGTCATCGAGCACAACATGATGGCAGAAGCAACAGCCCCGGCGCTTACGTTTGAGTGCACGCTGATTGTGGAAAATGTTGTAAAAGTGGCCACGCAGAACATCTCCGTGATCGGTACATTGACAACAGATTGTTTCTCTCTATATTGCACACGAGTGCAGATGATAAGTTGCTTCCTGTGCGTCTGTCCACAGACCTCTTCTCAATCCCGACCCTCATCATGTCTCCTACCGAAGTCTTTCAAGATGAACCGATGTTGCTAACCTGCAGAAGTGAGAGGGTAGCCGCCGGGAGACTGAACAGAAACGATCTGACTTACACTCTTGATCCGGCCGAGCACTTCGTTACAACAACGAGAGCTGGAGAGTTTTCTCGCACGGCCATGAAAACTGACTTCACGTATACGTGTACAGCCGAGGCGAAAGGCATCAAGAAGCGCAGCGAAGCCCTGACTGTTCGTCCTAAAGGTCAGTTCACTCTTTGCATGTAGGTTTATATGAACATAAACTAAAAACATAAGACGGTACAACAGTGTACAAGAATATAAACCTTCAACAGTTACCAATAATTTCGTATCCTCGGAATATTATGGACATAAAATTTTAGAAACATAGCTTTCCGATACCTTTGTCTGCTGGCAATGGTTATTTTGGGCCTTTTCTTTATTTGTTATGCAATTTGTTACATTCTTCAATTTTTATATATATATATATATACATACACACTTGGTACAACATCCTGTCATTTTCAGATCCAAGGATTGAAAATAAGTTTCTTTGACTTTAAAAATCTGTAAGAAAGTTTCACTCCCTGGAATCAAAATATAAAGACAAATGTCATTTTCAGCTTGGAAGGCTTTGTTGCCTGATTTTAAGTTTACTCAACAGATCCTGGACGAGATTTAGGTGGTCTCATGGACATTTCAGCTCTATGACTCAGGCTCTTGTCTCAGTGGAGGATGCAATGCCGCCCAAGATCAAGATTTAGATTTCCCTCCAGTGTCGTCATTATGCTGTTTACTTTAGCAGGAACTCCTGTCCCAACGGCAAAAACAGCCCTGAACCATTACGTTTCCACCATTCTGCTTGACCTCAAAGAGGATAATATCATGGCAGCTTTTCTCCTTTTCATTTCAACTTATAAGGGAACATTTCAGAGTTATAAGTAGGAAATATCAACTGGATTCCCTCTGAACTTGAAGGAACTTCACAATGACCAATCAGAAAATCCAACATGGCTGCCTCGCTCAGCAAAGAGACGAGTCTTGCTGCAGATCACTGAAAACTCTCCAATATAAATGCATAATCTCCTTCCCTGGAAACAACTAAGCTCCAACCATCACAAATATGTTTTTTGTATTTGCAAATGAAAACCATTACGCTGTCTAAATCAGGGGTTCCCAACCCTGGTCCTTGAGGAACACCAACCTGCATGTTTTAGTTATTCTCTGCTCCAGCACACCTGATTTTAATTGATTGGTGATTAACAGGCTTCTGCAGAACATGAACTAATTAAATCACTGAATCAGGTGTGTTGGAGCAGGGAAACAATTAAAACAGGATGGTGTTCCTCAAAGACCAGTGTTGGGAACCATTGGAAACTACTCGCCTCACAAACACACACACACACAGATAAAAGGTTTCAAGCGAGCGATATATATATCATAAACGTTGTAGAAATTAAAACAATAAACTACATCTTCCTCCCGGTGGCTTCCTGTGTCTGGAGATGGTCCAGTTTCGGTCAAGTGGTCCCCTACACTCTGCAGCATGACATTAGCTGAGACACCAAAGATATTTGCAGGGGGGGGGCGGGTTATGATTATTTTAGTTGTTATTGCAAATAATAATAATTTTGGGAACAAAACTAAATAGTGCAACTTGCTTTCTGTTGTTGGAGATCATGTATTTCTCGTGACGTTGCCTGAAGCCTTTCCCCCGTTGGTCTGCAGCTCGACGCTAACGATGAAAAATTGTAGCTAGCTGCAGTAAAGTTATTTTCTAACACTGCTGTCTGTGTTTCTTAATTAATTTAGATTAAATCACATGTAAAACAGTCCAACTACCATTAGTGAACACATTTCTGGTGTGATTATCATCGCAAAATACTATATGTTGTGGGTTTCTTTTTTATATATATAATTTTGTGTTGCTAATAATAGCTAGCCTGGTAAGCTAGCCCAGTCAGTAGATAAATTCTGCTAGTTTTCCACAAATGGATCACTTCATAACTTTGGCGTGTCCATATTTACAAATGTATTTCTCTAAATTAATTGCAGTATTATCCTTTATCAGACCAAATTAAGTGCTTTCTTGTCAAATTACTACTACAGTGCTAGCTTTAGCCTCGTAAAGCTAGTTTGGGCTGTAAATGTTGAGCCTCCAAGGGGGAACGTCATGCAGTTCCTGAAATGTTAGCCTGACATGTTGGTCCCAGTATTATTTAGATTAATGAAAATAACCTGATTAGTGGATTGTGAGCTACATAAGGTTCCTGCAGACAAATTTGGACCCTCGACCAAAACAATAACTGGAAAATCCTAATTAAAAACAGACTTCAGACCTTCCGTCCAGGATTTGTGATGAAAATTTCAGACCAGCGTGACCATTTATCATCTGTTCTCTAAATGTAAAGGACAAATGCTCATCAGATATCAAACACCGTAGTATTTATTAGTGTACATGACACTATTAAGATGCTGTTTGTTCCTCCGACACCATTCTTTTGCTGCTTAACTACGTCTGCATACGTCATATTGCAACCATCCAGATGTCTAATTGACAATTAGCAGTTGGGTGTGTTTTTTAATGTCTAATCCCGTTTTATGGTTTTGATTGTCTCAGTATTACCTTTGTATTATTGTACTATATGCAGAAATTTGGCAAAATACATTTTTTATGTATTTATATGACTTTGATTAGATAAAAGGCTTCAAGCAAGTCTTTTGTCTATGCACACTTGTTTTTCTACAGAAAAAAATTATCTAGTATATCAACACAATTTCACGCACATCCACATGAATTTGCTTCATATTTGTCTGTTGCTTTAAAAAAGTATTAACTAAACTTTAATGACCTCCTTTTGGTTGTCATAGTATTAAAATCAACATATTTTTGCTTTGAATAATTTTCAGGAGACCTTATTGTTGAAGTAAAGCAAAATAAATAATAATAATAATGTCATCACAATGTCAGCACTGTATGTTTCCATACAATGGCGAAATTAGTCTCTGCATTTAACCCATCCACCACCAGGTGGTGCAGTGGGCAGCTATTGAAAGCGCCCGGGGGACATTTTGGGGATGAGACGTGCTGCCCAGAGACGCCACGTGATGTGCAGTGACTGGGGATCGAACCTGGGACTTTCGGGTCCCAAGCCGGCTGCCCTGCCTCTACACCATCTCGGCCCCCATAAATGCATTTGATTGCATTTCTTGTTTGTTTTGGGAGCTGTCTATATCTTGCACAGAAACAGGAGAATAATTTTAATAAAACATGAAGCTGTTTTGGTAAAGTAGTTATATGTAGGTTAAGAAAAATGTTCATTTTATAAAAATAAAATGGATTTCCTAAAATTTGGTACTATCTTTTTAAGAAGAAACCTTCAGTGAATGATAGCTTGTCAGTTTGTGTTTAAACATATAAAGATTTCTATGTATTTTGTTGTTTTGTAACAATCTGTTTATTTTCCTCTTTCCTCTTTAGTTCACGTCTCAGTTCCAGATATCTGGGTTTCTGACCGAGTGATCTTGGGAAAGCCTGTTTACATCTACTGTGAGTCCAAAACAGGAAGCCTTCCCATCACCTACACCCTTTGGAAAGGAATCGACAAAATAAACACCTTCAGCGCCAACATGATCAGGCAACAAGCTTATTTTCCAGTCACTTTCAACCACACTGAAGAAACCAGCATGTACAGGTGTGAGGCGAGTAATGGCGGCAGGAAGAACCAGCAAAGTGCCAAACTGAACACGTCTGTCATAGGTAAATATTCAAATCTGAAATAAAAACGTCATTTTTATTGAACTGATTTCTGGTCTCACCTTGACTGCACAAGAATCATACCTGGTACCTAATGGGTTACATACCTGGTACTTAATGGTTTACATACCTGGTACCTAATGGGTTACATACCTGGTACTTAATGGTTTACATACCTGGTACTTAATGG